AGTACATAGAGGCAAACAATTAAGTGAAGAGGAGCATTAGAACCGACAAGAAGAAATACGCGGAAGAACTAGCAACGACGGTGGAAAAAGCTGCGAGGGAAGGAAATATGAAACAACTTTATGATACAACAAAGAAACTGGCAGGGAAATACAGTAAACCAGAGAGACCGGTCAACGAAAGAGAAGAAGGCAGGCCAATCACTGAAATTCAACAACAGCGGAACAGATGGGTAGAATACTTCGAGGATCTCCTGAATAGACCGGCTCCAATGAATCCAAGGGACATCGAAGCAGCAAACACACAGATCTTCCTATATATGTCAATCCACCAACGACGAGAGAAATCAGGATGGCCATAAGACAAATCAAGAGCGGGGAAGCGGCAGGACCAAACAATATACCAGATGAAGCACTGAAGTCATACATCAAAGTAACTACAAGCATGCTTCACCCTCTATTAAAAAAGATTTGAGGGGAAAAACAAGTGCAGACGGACTGGAAAGAAGGACACCTCATCAAGATTCCAAAGAAAGGAAATCTGAGCAGATGGTAAGACTACAGAGGCATCACACTACCGTCAATACCTGGGAAAGTCTTCAACACAGTGTTACTGGACAGGATGAAAGATGCAGTAGACGCCCAACTTCGAGATCAACAAGCTGGATTCCTTAGGGATCGGTCGTGCACAAACCAAATTGCGATACTACGGATCATTGTCGAACAATCAGTTGAGTGAAACTCGTCACTGTACATCAACTTCATTGATTATGAAAAGGCGTTTGACAGTTTAGATAAAACATTATAGAAACATCTTTGACACTACGGAGTTCCTGAGAAGATTACCAACATTATCCGGAACTCATTCACTATAAGGACAGAAATCAGACGAGGCTGTTTATTCTCCCTCTTCCTCTTTCTTCTGGTGGTCGACTGGATTATGAAGACCTCGACATCTGAGGGAAAACACGGAATTCAATGGACAGCTCAGAATCAATTAGACGATTTGGACTTCGCAGATGACCTAGCCCCCCTATCGCGTACTCACGAACAGATGCAGATGAAGACAGCCAGTGTAACTGCAGTCTCTGCATCAGTAGGCCTCAGCATACACAAGGGGAAAACTCAGATCCTCAAATACAACACGGAGAACACCAGTCCAATCACTCTTGATGGCGAAACTCAGGAAGATGTAGAGTCCTTCATATACCTGGGAAGCATAATCGATGAACAAGGAGGCTCAGATGCAGACGTAAAGGCGAGGATTGGTAAAGCAAGGGTCGCATTCCTACAATTGAAGTACATATGGAACTCAAAACAACTATCTGCCAACCAATATCAAAGTCACAATCTTCAATACGAACGTCAAAGCAGTCAGTTCTACTGTACGGAGCTGAAACGTGGAGAACTACAACAACCACCATCAAGAAGGTGCAAGTATTCACAAATAGTTGTCTACACAAGATACTCAACACCCACTTGCCGGATACCATCAGCAGCAGCCTTCTCTGGAAGAGAAAAAACCATGATCAAGATGAAGAGTAAAATAGGGAAAGACGATGGAAATGGATAGGACATACATTACAGAGATCACCAAATTGCATCACGAAGCAAGTAAGTAAGTAAGTAAGTAAGTAAGTAAGTAAGTAAGTAAGTAAGTAAGTAAGTAAGTAAGTAAGTAAGTAAGTAAGTAAGTAAGTAAGTAAGTAAGTAAGTAAGTAAGTAAGTAAGTAAGTAAGTAAGTAAGTAAGTAAGTAAGTAAGTAAGTAAGTAAGTAAGTAAGTAAGTAAGTAAGTAAGTAAGTAAGTAAGTAAGTAAGTAAGTAAGTAAGTAAGTAAGTAAGTAAGTAAGTAAGTAAGTAAGTAAGTAAGTAAGTAAGTAAGTAAGTAAGTAAGTAAGTAAGTAAGTAAGTAAGTAAGTAAGTAAGTAAGTAAGTAAGTAAGTAAGTAAGTAAGTAAGTAAGTAAGTAAGTAAGTAAGTAAGTAAGTAAGTAAGTAAGTAAGTAAGTAAGTAAGTAAGTAAGTAAGTAAGTAAGTAAGTAAGTAAGTAAGTAAGTAAGTAAGTAAGTAAGTAAGTAAGTAAGTAAGTAAGTAAGTAAGTAAGTAAGTAAGTAAGTAAGTAAGTAAGTAAGTAAGTAAGTAAGTAAGTAAGTAAGTAAGTAAGTAAGTAAGTAAGTAAGTAAGTAAGTAAGTAAGTAAGTAAGTAAGTAAGTAAGTAAGTAAGTAAGTAAGTAAGTAAGTAAGTAAGTAAGTAAGTAAGTAAGTAAGTAAGTAAGTAAGTAAGTAAGTAAGTAAGTAAGTAAGTAAGTAAGTAAGTAAGTAAGTAAGTAAATTTTTCTGCTGCTGATGTTCTGGTATCCTAGTGTAGAATATAGTACTGTCTAATTTGTTGTGTACTTACCCCAAGTTTCTCACTGAACATCAAAGTACATTCAGTATGCAACTCTCAAACCTAACAAATCTTTTCACATAGGTTCCTCCTCATGTTTTGTAAATGTATTTACTGAAAGCATTAGACACTTAACTGTGAATATTTTACCTAAGGTAATGAGATTAGTAAGGTGAAAATATCAAAAATTTTCATTCAAGTAAATCGGAATGCACTTGGACATAAATTAATCATAAATTCAGAATTTTAATTCTAACCGATAAACAGTGATTAACTAGTGGATTATGTACTGCTATTCTATCCACATTTTTAAGTATTCAACTGTAAATCTATTGTTTTATATATGAAACCTAACTTAATATAACCAAGAATCACAGAGAAATAATCCCTACTCAATTACTGATATGAATGTAGCAATTTAAGTCTATAAATGCTCGCGCGCGAGACTGATAGGTCCTGGATTTGAATCTCGCGAGATGGAATCGTGAATATGCACTGTTGAGAAGTCCCACAGTAGGACGAAATGGCCATATAATGCTTCCAGGTTTTCAATGGTAGTCTAGCTTAAATTGATTCATGATCTCAACTATTAAAATCACTATAATATCCACGAAAAGACTTCTGATATCAAATAATGTAGTTGGTTTTCCGATAAATTTTACAGAACTAAAATATCACAAGGGGTTTTGTAGATATTATTAGTAGGTTTTAATCTCTGAGATCACAAGTCAATTGAAAATAGACCACCACTGAAAACCTAGAAACACTGAACAACCATTTCGTCCTAGTTTAAGACTCCTCAGTAGTGATCATCTACAACCTCACTTGTGGAATAAAATAATTCATCTTATTACAGGACTTAGTATTTTAATCTTTAATCTCACTGATTGAAATCATGAGTCAATTGAAGGTAGACTACCATGGAGAATCTGGAAGCACTGGACGGCCGTTTCGGCCTAGTATGGGATTCCTCGGCGGTGCGTATCCACAACCCCGCACCCCGCGAGGTTCGAACCCAGGACCTATCAGTCTCGCGCCAGGCGCTTAACCATTAGACCACCGAGCCGGCATTCAATGGTGTTGATGTCGAACTTCAAACAATCCACGAAATTGCGCCACCGTACACCATTATCTTTAGTGAGTTGATTTCTTACAACAGACCTGGTTGAACTCCAATGGTAACGGCTTCTCACTAGAACTACAGGAGTATCTCTTGAAGTCAATCACTAGTGAGCAGATGATAAGTCCTGGGTTCGAATCTCTCAGGGTGAGGAATCATGTATGCGCACTGCTGAGGAGTCCCACACTAGGACGAAACGGCCGTTCATTGCTTCCAGATTTTCCATTAGTGGTCTAGCTTTAATTGACTTATGAATTCAACCACTGGACTTTCTAAAATCTACACAAAAACCCCTTATTGATAATAATTCTTAATCATCAAATTTAAATGTTCTAAAATGGTATTTCACTAATTGATTATATGAAATCTTATCATCATTTTTATTTTTAAAAAAACTACTACTTCTAATATTGATTATATTTATTCATTAAAACTTATCTATTTTATACTTTCCTTATTATGACTCATCAAATCAATTTGATCATTGATCATTTTTGTTGTTGTTTTAATCTATATTCTAATCAAGGTCATTCATCTATGTGAATAAATTAAAATCGAGTCAATAATTGTATTTTTTTTTAAATTTAAAATTATTATTTTGAATAATTGAGTAAAATAAATCAATTGAAAATTTATTTTAGAATGGATCTTTGTAGATATTCTAGTAAGTTTTAATAATTTAGATCATGAATCAATTAAAACCTGAAAGTAATGGACGGCTATTTCATACTAGTTCGGAACTCCTTGACAGTACATATCAATGACTTTGTCTCATGGGATTCGAACCCAGGATATATAGGTCTTAACCTCTAAACTATTGAGCTGGTTGGCATCCAATGGTCTTAATGTCAAACTTCAACTAATCAATGAAATTGAATAATACGTCCACCAATGTCTTCAGTGAGTTACAAAATTTATTGAATGATTTAAGAAAAAAAATCCTATTGGAAAGAAATAAACTAGACTTATTAACTTTTTGATAAATCAATTAACTTGATAGTTAAATACATGAGTCGATTAAAGCTAATATCATCATGGAAAACCTAGAGGCACTAGATGGCCGTTTCATCCTAGTATAGGATTTCTCAGCAATGTGCATCCATAATCATGCACGCAGAATTCGATCATAGGACTTTCGGTCTCGCATGCAAACGCTTAAGTTAATTGTCATTCAACGGTGTTGATGTCTAACTAAACAAATTGAAATTTCGTACTAATCGATTATTGAGTAATAATCCAATTTGTATTGTTTAACTGTTACTGTTTATTAAATTCTATCCATCAAGTTACACTATCATCACTAGTCCAAGTGACACAATAATATCATAGCAAAGTATATTAAAAACAACATAGTTGATCATAGTCAGTTTCGAGATCGTTAAAATTCACCTGAAAAATGTCACTAAAGTTTTTATCAACTAAATATCATAAGTATTTAGTAATAAACAACAATAGATTCTTTATGATTCAATGATCAGTTCATTGAAACAAAAAT